TTAGGGAGTTCTCCATCCTGTTAAGCACGCCTAGCTTGGCATCAGAGCCACCCACTTGTGGCCTTTCATCCCCCTCAGGTAATCTGTAAGGACCTTGATGGTGTAGTGGTTATGAGTCAGGCTGCTACCCACATGGTCAGCAGTTCAAAAACACCAGCACTCCACGGGAGAGAGATGGGGATTTCTACTCCCATGAAGAGTTACAGTCTTGGAAACTCATTTCTGCCCTTGCCTCCAGGGTCACTATGAATTGGTATCAATTCACTGGCAATGAGTTTGAGTTGTTTGTTTAGATAGTCCTTTAGTCAAGAAAGGCTCCCTCTCCTGAAAACGAACAAAACAAAAGATGCTTAACCAGGTGCACTTCGATCTAGGGAATTTCCACCTTAGAGGCTCCATAGGACAAAGTGGGTGGCCCCATAAGGTCCTGGAGGCTGTGTATAGGAACTACCACATCTTTCTTCTGCATCGCCTGATAGCTCCAGCTACCAACTGTTTGACTATTACCCTTCATTTTATCCTGCATTAAAAGGGTCCTTTCGTTCTGCATTTTTTAAAAAATTACCATTGAGTGGATTTCTAGCGATCCTATAAGGACTGAGTAGAACTGTCCCTATGAGTTTCAGACATTGTTAACTCTTTACAGGAGTAGAAGGCACCACGGAAAGGCTGGTGGAACTGCCAACCTTGTGGATTGCAGCCCAAAGCCTAACACTACGCCACCTGTGAATAAAAACTAGAATGACATGCCACTGCACAGTCAATGGAATAGCTATTTTTTTCCAAAGAATATTGGGAAGGAGCTGTAGCAACTGGAACTGTCACACCTTGCTAATAGAAATATAAAATGTGAAAAATAACTGTAATGGCGTTTGACAGTTCCTTTAAGTTCAACATACACCTACTGCACCAAGGAGTGATTGATCCTTCTGACCTCAGGGTCTTCCTCTACTAGTGAGTAGAAAAATAAAACAAAATAAACGTACACGTGAACAAAACGATTTCTTAGTTTTATGATAAAGGAATGACCCTGAAGAGGTGACATTTGAACTGAAAGGGAGGTAGGGCCAGTCAAAGGACGGAGCAGGGCAAACGCTTGGCAGTGGAGCTGGACTAGGGCCTGTGATGAGAGCACCATAAAACTTCCTTGCAAGACGTTGAACTACCTTGTAAGACGTTGAACTACCTTACAAGACATTGAACTACCTTGCAAGACGTTGAGCCACATCAAAGAAACAAACACAAGAAACTCCACTTCAAAGAAAAAATAAAAGTAATATTGG